ATGATAGTTATGAGAGATTTGCTTTTGGCAAGCCTGATAAGAAGAGGGTGTGGTGCACGTAGGCAGCATAAACACACACAGATTATACAGTCTGACAGACGTGACTACGGGAACACCTCAGACCTTTTAATTGAATTATATTCACGATAAGACACCTGATAAACTGAGCTACTTTAGTAAATCTGGTCTTTCTTTCTCAGCCACAAAGACTTAAACAGACGTGAAATCCCTCCGAACAATCAGCTGCCATCCCTCATTTGAGCAGCAGGTGGGGAAGCAGGACAACAAACTGAGCTTCTCTTTGCTTCACCTCCTGTCACAGGTTGCTTGATCTCCTGCAACAACAATAAAAAAGAACCCCAGAATACAGATCATTTTGCTTGTAATTGCAGCCTTTTATCATAACAACATCTTGTGCAACACGTAGAAAGTGTTTCATTATGTGAGAGAAACAAACCCGAGGTTGCAACGTTTTCTCATTTCCTGAAAATCTGCAGAAACGGTTCTCGTCAGAGCCTCTATGTGAACAATACGTCCTCTTATCGGTGCTCGAAAATCGCAGATCTACGTAAAGGGTGCTTGTATATCCTCTGATTGTCTCTCTACTTCTTCCCTCTTGCACTTTCCTCACATCGACGCAGGAAAGTCAACCATGTAATTATCTACCATTTCTATTTAGAGCTGCCTCTATTCCTCTTCTCCTCCTCGACGTCATCCCTCTCTCTTCTCCTGCATTAAGAGCCTCTCGGGAGATTCGAAACAAATTTTATCTACTTTGCAAAGTCGGTAATTGACACTCGAACAGGGAAGTGTGTTTTTTTCCGCTGCGACGGGATTGGAAGCGATGCGACGCAGCTTCTTCTTCTTCTTCTTCTGATTCGGTGCATCCAAACAGAACTAATGTGGGTTTCCGAGCTTAGACAAACAGTCTGCACAGTCAGCTTTTCGTACGCTGGTGCAGAAAGTGACTGTTCTTCTTTTGAACTCTATCTTGGGAGGGATTATATAGAAATAATAATACATGGGAGCTCTGGTTGGATGTGAGAACCATACAGTTATTATCCATTTTATTCTGCACATGTGTGTGTGTGTCC